AGAAAATATATTATCATACACTAATTTTTATTTTTAATAAAGAAAAAAAATATTAGTTTTAAATAAAGTAAAAAAATTAATTTTTTTCATCTGATTAGTAAATTTTGTTTAAAATTTTAATTTTTTTTCATCTAATTAACAAAATTTGTTTATTAAACTAATATTTTTTTATGATAAATTAATATAAAAATAAAAATATAATAATTAATTAATATTATTAAAGATAAAAAATAAAGTTGAAACTAATTAGGTAAATATTAATTAAAAATTATGGCCAAAAATTAAAAATTTTTAAAAAAATAAATTTGTTAATAAAATTAAAAAGTTTGATACAAAAAGTTATTTTAAATAATTTTTACAATCACTTGATAGTTTAGATCATAACCGTTATTTGTTAATCTCAAATCACTAAATAAAAAATTTTACCAAACAAAATTTACCAAATACTTATTTTTATTGGTTTAAACACAACCACTAAACATTACATCCAAATCAATATATCAAGCGGACCTCTAATCACACAATTATTTGTTACTTAAAGACTGTTTGGTCTGGGCTTGATGTGAGTACTAGAATTTTTTTTTTTTTTCCGGATCTTGTAATCAGCGTCAAAAAATTTTTTTATTCTTTCTTTATTTTACTTACTTGTCTCACAACTTAAACTTAACTCTTTTATTTTTACCCAAAAAAAATTACTCGTATCACTCGACTAGTTAAGTCATTTGCATCTGAGTGCCTGATGCATTTTTCATTTCTTTCTTTCTTTTTATTTTTTTAAGTCCCCAAATAATTAATTTCTAATCATCCATAGCATTAGAAGTAATCTTCCTTACATACACTTTGAACATGGATTTAATAAGCTTCTTTAAATTCTTTACAAATAATAGTTGGTAGATGTGGTGTGTGAGAACACAACAAAACTCTAATTCATCCCACCTAATTCAAATCTGCATTAGCAATGATCAAGCCCTAACAACTCTTGAATGATGTGTATTTTCTGCTAGCTTTTTCCATCAATAAAAGATATTACCTTTGATTGCAAAATAATAGGTGAAAGTAATTTGTGTGTTTATTAGATACTTTTGCCATTTAAATGTTTTACTACATAATTTTATAGTTGTAGGCAAGTAGGGAGCAATAACCATCCCTCCCCCTTTCCTATTTTCCTCTCATTTTCTCATCTAACATAATTAGGTTAATTGATTAGAAATAGTGCTTATTCACCTTATCTCTTAAAAATTAAGAGAAATATTATTTCAAAACTATGTCATTTTAATAAATATCTATTGAAAAATGTTAAAATATTTTATTTTTAAAGCATGAATTAAAGTATTTTTTGTTCTTTTTCCTCTTAATTTTTTCGAAATAAGACGAACAAGCACTAATTTTTAATTGATTTTGCACTATAAAATATTTTCTTGTACAGGCCTATAAATAGGCGCTTTGTATATTCAAATGAATTAAGAAAAGTATCATTTTCTTCATATTTTTTCTCTCCTGCCCTTTTTTCTCTTATGGTATCAAAGCAACTGAGCTCTTTTATCTCTTTTCATTTTTTAATTTTCTACTTCTAGTTTGTGCCAACAGTATTATAATATACTATTGTTCTCGGCCCACATCGTGTCGATCGTGCACTTGGTGTTTCGCTTCTATTTGCCGGTCGTGGTCTCCGACAGTGCTCCAGTTTTGTTTTGTTTCGTGTTCGTGCTTTGGGTTTCCTTTTTTTTTTTTTTTGCTCCAGTTAGGTTCCTGGCCAGCATTGCGCCTTCAAAATTGTTCTTCAACAATCCAAAATTGCTCTCCTTTTTTTCGTTTCTCTGGCAGCCTGTTGTTACTACCCAAAATTGCATCCCCAATCTCCTTTGATTATGTTTCGGTCAAATTTCTTTACTTAATATTCTTATTTTTTTAATGGAGAAATATGATATTTCTCAACCAATTTTAACTATTCTCAATGGCTCAAATTACATACTTTGGGCTCAAAGTATGCGCAGCTTTTTAAAGGATAAGAAATTATGGCGGTATGTTACTGGTAACATTACACTTCCACAAAAAGTTGCTAATGAGATAAATAAGAAATTATGGCGATATCTATTTAGGGCTTAATATGTTGATCGTCTGGAGGATTGGGATAGCAAAAATCATTAGACCATCACTTGGTTTCGAAACACCTCAATTCCTTCCATTCATCTTTAGTTTGGACAATATGAAACATCTAAGGAAGTGTGGGATTTGCTTGCAGCTGTGTATACCACTTCTGATTTATCTAGTCAATATCAATTGTGGGAAAAGTTCCATAATTTGAAACAAGAACGTGGGGAGACCATTACTGGTTTTTATGCTAAGATGAAGGCTATTTGGGATCAGCTTACTCTCTCAAAACTAACCTTCGACAACACTAGCGATATTGGGAAGTACATTGAGCATCATGATAAAATGAGGTTAATTCAATTTCTTATGGCACTTACTAATGATTTTGAGCCATGCAAAGCCTCTTTATTGCATCAATCTCCTTTACCTACCTTGGATAGTGCTTTATCACAACTATTATCTGATGAAACTCATTTAGGCTTACTAAAGCTTCAATGAGATAATACTGTTGTTACAACTATTAACAAGTTTCCTTCCAGTAAGAGAGGACAGAATCATTGCCGTCACTAAAACAAGTACGGACATGCTATATATGAATGTAGCTTGGTTGAATGTCATAAGTGCAAGCAGAAAGGTCATATTGCTCCTAATTGTATCACTTTACTACCTTAGAGATTTGATTAGTGGAAGACTCAATCAAAGCTTGATCAGTATTCCAAGCCTGTGGTTACTGCAGCTGCTATCAACGAGGATACTTCAGTCCATTCTTCGATTGGTAATCTTGAAACCTTTCTTAAACAGATGATATCATCTTCCTCTACATCTACTACCTTGTCTACCATCCCAGGTAATGTTTCTTGGCTTTTTAACTTTGGTTGTTGCAATCATATGACTTCGAACTCTAAACTCTTTTCTACATTAAACCCCAATACCA